GAAAAGCTTTAGCATGTATGGGCAGACTGAAATATTCTGAAGTCACCTAGACGTTGGTCTTTCCTGCCCTAGTTTACTTGCATTAGAAAGTAAAATAAATAAATCAAGTTAAACAAATATAAGAAAAAAATAAGATCACATGTTCTTAAGTCTATAAAACTGACAGAATTAACTGAAAATGAACACTAGATTGGAAGACATGGTAACGTGTCCAAACCTGACCATTGTCAGTTAAGGTGGCAGTCAGCAAGTTCAAGAGTGGGAAGAAGTCTTTTTAGGTGAAAATCATATCTTTTATAATAAAATTAGAAACGTATTTGTTTAGTGAAATGCTGTTTTTACTGAAAAATAATCTATAGATTTTTATTATAGTAGGAAAGCTTTAATCATTAAATTTTAATTTTTCAGTTAATAATTTAACATGGGATAAGAATCAACCAGCTTTGTTATAGACTAGCATAAAATTTTCAGTTGTGAAATAATAACACTTTTAATCAAGGTATGAGGAATCAACCAGCTTTGTTACAGACTAGCATAAAATTTTCAGTTGGGAAATAACACTTTTAATCAGGGTATGAGGGTTTACGCTATTAACAGAAGTAAGAGCATATACATGGAATTTGAGGTTTGTTTGTTTTATCATAAATGGTTAAGTTCAAATTTTTATCAGTAAATGAGATACCTGGGTGAATAGATGATAGAGTTGTTGTTTTGTTGTTCTTATCAAATTCCAGTTTGACTGGCTAAGTAGAAGTGGCTGTTAGTTCAAAGTCTGGATTGTTAAAAGAAATTAAAATGTCTATCTAACAAAAAGTATAGCAATACTGATCCAGATTTGGTGACTATGGCATGAATAAGTACTCATAAGATCTGTCAAGGATATATTAGTGAAAAAGAGTAGTCAAGTAAAAAAGAAATAAATGAAATGTTATTAACACAATCTAGTACCTTGTTATTATTCTTAATAATCTAATAATATTAGTTGAAGAATTATCAATATTGATTTGAATATTACCTTTAAGATCAGATTAAGTTTTAAACCAAGTGGTTTAACAATACATTTTACTGAGCTGGGAATAATTCTGAATTTAATGGTGTCATGCAGTTTATGGGTAGCATTAAGAAAAGATAGATTTCAACCATGATGATCGAAGGGAAACTTTCCATTTTTTAGTGTTTTATAAATACATAAATTATTCAAAACAGAATTGTTATTGATTTTGCTTTTAACAAAACTGGTGTTAGTGTTAGTTATTATTGTAATATCAGTGCTATTGTCATTCTTTCCTCACTTATTTTTGTAATATCAGTGCTATTGTCATTCTTTTCTCAGGTCTTATTGTAATATCACTGCTATTGTCATTATTTCCTCAGTTATTATTGTAAAATCAATGCTATTGCCAATTTTTCTCAGTTCTTAATGTAATATCAGTGCTATTGTCATTTTTTCTTGGGTCTTATTATAATATCAGTGCTATTTTTATTCTTTCCTCACTCATTATTGTAATATAAGTGCTATTGTATAAAACGTTTTGAGTGATGAAATCAAAATTGCATACAGATTTATGGACAGGGGTTATCACAAATATTTCTTGAACTAGTGAAATGTTTTTTTCAAAAAATGATATGGAAGGTTAGGTTTATACATAGAAATATTTAAAGCATTGAGTTTATTTTTAATATACATGAGAAGATTTTTCCACTGATAAAAGTACCTTCTGATTTTCAGAATATATTCATCTATATTTCTTTCTAGTGGGTTTTGAATAGTAAGTTTGTTTGTATTCCTAAAGTTTAAGGTTACCTGTAATCACTTGTTGATGAAAGTATCAGTGAGTTTTAAAGTATTGACAGAAGTCTTTTAATTGCAAATTAAAGGCCTAATTGGTGCATTGTAATTACAATTTAGACTTGGGTAAAGGTTTTAAACCTGAAAAAATTACCAGTAATACTCTGGATGGTTTGTTTGTTTGTTGTTAAGCACAAAGTTACACAATAAGCTATCTGTGATCTGCTCACTGCAGGTATCAAAACCAGATGTTTTGCATGAAGAGAGAGAAGAGACAGATCATTAAGTGTTTTATGTTTGAAATCAGTTACCACGAGGAAATTTTTTTTTCTTCTGTATGTCATAAAAAGCAGAAGTATAAAGTGATATTAAACCAAATCTAAGTTTGATAAGGTCAGTAATTAAGTCTTTTGCATGTGAGTTGTTGAAATTAAAAAAGAATACCTGTTTGAATAAGGTTTAAATCTTAGCAATATTTAGATTAAAAACAGTATTTATGTGAAAGGAAGTAACACCATTAAAAAAATAGAAGATTTGTCTAAGGTTTTACAAAATTCATTGAAAATGACCCATTTACATTTATTGTGACCTTTTCCCCTTGATCTCTTACGCTCGTGTAAAGAATCAACACGAAAAGATGGTGGATACTGTTAGATATACCAAGGTGAGTAACAGTGTTATTTTGGAAGTCTTGGTTAAGACCTTAGGGATAATGTTTTAAAATGAGTAATCTTCTTTTTCAGTTAATTTATAAGTAATTGACATTGAGTAAAATAATAATTTCATCATCAGTGAAAACATGTGCATAGGAATGAGCACTTTCAATCAAATGGAGAAAGTCTTTGTCATATTGTGATATATGGAGCTTAATTCTTAAATTTAATGAATTGGAAGTTTGTCCTACATAATGTAGCCTACAATGAAATTAGAATTTTTACACAAAAGTTTTCCAAAAATTATACGTTGCTCATCTGCTGCCATGTGACAGATTAAACACCTTTTGTTTTGGAATATAGTTATTTACTATTGAAAAGTAGCTTTAAAGTTTCCTTAAAACAGCTAGCTGGTATGAAGTTAATATTTTCAAAGAATTGAAATGACAAAAATGTATTCAAAATAGAGAACAAAGAATCAATATCTCCTTATCCAAATACATAAACAGTAGTAATAAACAAGTTAAGAATTTAGTATTGTTTCATGTTTTGTCAAATAGCTTTTGCTTCATTATACTGTGTTTGTTCAGTGTCAGCATTTATTATTACTTTGATCTGATAGTAGCATAGTCTGTGTGTATGTGAAGCATGAATTAAAAAAGATTCCAATAAAGTAGCTCTTTTTATCAGTAACAAGTTCTAACCACTTTGAAAATTTCAGTACCTAATTTTTTAGGTAAATATGTATGTTAATATGATTAAGGTGTGGTGAAGGATAGATTTAAATAGAGAAGGATCACAAGATACCTTGATCCTATATGAAGGGACTGAAGGGAGAAGAACTATTTTCAAAACCTGTATAGCATTAACACTTGAAGCACATATTGTTTACTAAAAAACTATATATTTACACATAAATATGAAATTAGAACTTCTGACATTAAATATTTTGGTTTAAAATCTGTTATATCAAGTGAAATCATATTATGCCTAAGGTCTATGAATTACGGAACATCACTGAAACATACAGTATTGGTTACCTCTTTGTCACATAGATTGCTGAAAAACAGTGTTGCTACCACTGTCCAGCTGAACAGTTGGGAGTCTCTTTTATGTATAGGCTGTAAATGAACTTGAAATTATTAAGATTTTGATACTATGCAATTACAGTCATAGTACAAAGGGTCACCAAGAGTAACATGGGTATTTCTCCTATCTTTACAGTTGATTATAACTAAATTAAAATATAATTACATTCAAATTGCATAAATTTTTAGACTGGTTTCTAGACTTAAAGAATATTAATATTAAATATTATGAATCCAAACTAAAACTGTAGAGTGTGTGCTACAAATTCCAATATTTAGTCTTTTTGTTTGTCCATAATTCAAGTACCATCTTGATACTAATTTAATTTCTTGGTACTGTTGAAAAATATTAATTTGTAAAAAATGTACAGGAAAGGGCTATTAGAATGGTTTCTGGTTTAAAACATTGGCAGTGATATTAGAAGTAAGCACTTGTATGTATTCTCTAATATATACATATAGGAAAATTAGAGGTGATTTGATTCAAGCTATCAAAGGTGCTAAGGAACTGGATAATTTCCTGTTAACAGAGTGATTTGGTTTCTAGAAAAGTAAGGTTTGAAACTGCAGTGACTTGAACATTTAGAAGAAGTAAACGCAGTGCGGTTTTTTCCAGCCACAAATAAAACCAATAAAGTTTTAGAATGTGTATTGCATGTTATATGAATGGATAAAAGAAGGTTAAGGAGAATACATGACCTTTAAGGGATAATCCCAGTTCCTTACATACTAATAATGGCTTTCCTACTGACTTGCTGGATTGCTTCATTTGTTCTATTTTTATTAATTAGGGGTGCATTCATTAAAATTTTGTTCAGTAGTAGGGTGTACTTGATTCTGAAATATTCTTTATCTGGAATAAAATATTATCAAAAAAACTTACGAAGTGTTAGGAGATTAAATCATTTCTTTCTAATGATATTTGTTCAAGCAATAGGATGATTAGGGATTGAATACATTTGATTTCTGAGAGATAAGGTTAGTTACAAATAACGATTTGAATGTGTGACATCTCTTTTTCAACTAGGTACAAGCATTTCCTTAGAGGTAATTTCTTCTCACTTCATATCAAAGACTTGTGAAATGATTTAGTTAAGAAATTGGTGTGTGATATTATTTCTTTGAAAGTTCTGATGGATAATTTGATAGATGGAAAAGATTAAACTAATGATAAAATAAAGTCTTTTTTAATATGGTAATGGGTGACCTCTGACCCAATGTGTTTGTTTCAAGTAGTTTAGAATGAGTAATTGAAATGTAATGATATTTTCCACTATAAACTTTGCTTTGATAAATATATTAATTATGTCTTGTTCCATTTTTTTGTTGAGAGAAGCATGCTTCACTTTTTGTTTAATTAAAATGTTTTAATATAATGTTTGTTGGGATAACTGCAAATTTGAGGAAATAGTAATTACAAATTCGATTTGGATCTAATAGTTAACAATTTTATGATATTTTATATTGTAGATCTAGGAAAGGAGAATCTGCCTGCTGAGTATTTCACTATTGGAGCTACCTTTCCATACAATTGTGACAAAGCTGGATGTAGAATACGTGAGTAAAGCCTCCACATTAAGAATTAACTGCATTCAAAGTTAAACAGAACTTTATTTTTTTGAAGTGACATACTTAGGATAAAGAACAAAATTTAGACATAGTTTGAGGAAGTAGTTTTAAAGCAAACATGTTTTATGAAATTATAACTCTAAACAAGCATAAAGAACTGGAAATGATTACATCTACTGAACTAAAGTCAGGCTTTTTTCAGTGAAAACATTGACTAAGGCCACATAATCAGAGGAAAAGGTATGTTTTTAAAAAACAAATACTTTAATTTTTGTAATGTAACATTTTTAAGTTCTTACATACTGTTGACTTTGACAATTCTTGTTGTAGTGTTTTATGTGTACTTTAGAAAGGAAAAACCATTTAGATGTAAACACTTTATATATATAGTTTTTCACCTTGTGTGGCATTGTTTTTCTGCCATTCAGCAATAAAAAATATATTGACTTTTCCAAAATTGGAAGCATTAGCTATCTGAGAAATCTTCCACCTGCCAGAAAATTAAGTTTAACCAGGCCATGTAGTCACTAAAGAATTTTACAAATCTGGACTCATAGGAAAAAATTACAGTGTTCCAAAAAAGCAGGAGTGTGTATAGCATATATGATATTTCCTGTAGTCAAGAGTGGCTTCTGTCTAGCCACTCCAGCATTGTGACCCATGCTATGAAGATAACTTCTGATAGTGTTGGGACACACATGCACCTGTCCTGCAACTGTAGTAGTCATTTGATGTGGGTCATTCTTCTCACTTCTTAAAGCATGTAGAGTCCATTCTGTTGGTTTTTATGGGTGCCCAGGCCTTAAGGAAACTTGTTTTCTGACATGACTGGAACCACGTTGTCATCTTATTCACTGTGGACAGTGGTATTCTATTTGCATATGTTGTCATGGAGATGGTCAGTTTATGTTTCTTTACTTATTTTAGGCTGTATGTAAGGTGATTACATTTTCAACCATGCACTGAAGTATTTTAAAATATGCTGAACTCTTGAATTACAGTGTTATGGAAAAACAATAAGTCTATTTTAACTTTGTATCATTTCTTAGAATACTTTTTTGTTATTTTCCACATTATTTTAGATATAAATGCTCTTTATGTAAAAAAACTGATTAATAGTGAAGCAACTCATTATCATATTTATTAGGGCAGTTACTGAAATTGTTGTTGGACCAATATTTAAGTATTCTATAATGGTAGAAAGCAGTTGGTATCAGATTGTAACCTTCTCCAAAGCTGTAATGAAGAACTTTGCAACAAATCAAGTACCTTGTAATTATTTTAGGGTAAGACACTAAAGATTTGGTTGTGGGTCAAGTGTGTAACTGACACTTTATGTAAAAATAAAATAACATTGTTATACCTGTTATATAGGCAGCACTAGCCTGGGTAATAAATAGTGATCAGAAGGAAATATGTTTCAACAAAAATCCTATAGTACATAAACAGTATTTTATAAATGTTTAAAATAACTGCAGGTTTTTTGTTTTGTTTTTTCCAGTGGTATTGAGGGTAAGACTTCATAAGAAAAATTCTTCCACCATGCTGGAGCAAAAGAAGTTTGTAGCTTACTGGGTAGAAAAGTTGGATAGAGAAACCAATGGAGGGAAAATTTCTCTCTTGGTGGATTGTGCTGATTCTGGTCTTTCAAACATGGTGTGATTCTCATAGCCATTAAGTACAAAAACATGCTGTGTGATTGAAGTCTTATAGTTCAGAAGCAAAAGAGGACTGGCAAGATCAGTGACCAAAAGTTATAATCAGAGTTTCTATAATATCTTATTCAAGTACATAGAAAAAATGAAAATATTTGTTACCAATTTCAGGTCAATGGGTTAAACAAAAACAAAATGGCTGATGTTTACATTTTATCCAGAGGGGGTTCTGCTTAAGAGAAAAATGCATTTGCAAATAAGATTATTATATGTCAATGTGACTTCTATCCTGGTACTGTATATAAGCAAGTTGTTTAGATAATGTTGTCACTTTTTCTCGAAAAAGCATTCACTAATGGATTTCTCTGTGCTATGATCGTTGGAGATAATTTGAGAGTTCTATGTGTTACGTCATTTGTATTCTTACTTGGCAAGCCGATATACGGCATGAACTCCCAGCATGAAAGCAAATTCAATCCTATCCCACCTTTGATATCTAGTGTTTCTCAACAATCTGGGGGGGGGGGTCACTCTCAATTGAGACTGTCAGTGATCTTATTCATAGTTAGATGGAGACATATTTTCAGTTTGGTGGTATTCTTTCAGGAGGCTCTGAGGGTGCAATTGAGGGCGATCCTGTACATTCTGGAAATAATTTAGATTTTCTTTTTCCTGCACCTTCTTTTTTTCTGTTGACTTCTCAGGAGGCCACTTTAGGACAAGCTGCCTCATGCTCCATTTCTTCAGTTGGTCCATCGAGTGTGTGATGTTTGGAGTCTTTCTCCAGTTGCTTTTGAGCATGTGCCTTACTTGATGGTTGGAAGGTCTGGGAGCAAATACATAATTTTCCCTCTATCCATTGACGTTGTGGTTATGCGGGGAGGATTACTGCTCAGTTATGGAAGGGACAGCTATGCCATAGTTGTCAGAATTACATGACTTAGCCTGCCACTGCCAGATAGAAGCGTATTCTGACTCTCAAAGAATACATCTGCTCCTGAAAATTTGGAGTTCTGGAGCAGAGTTTGTAGTTTCCCTGAATTGATCAGTTGTCCCCTGGCAGAACATTGGTAAGTCAATGGACTTGCAACTCTAACATCCAACATTTGATTCCCTACAGTGGACACAGTTCATAGTCCAATATGTTGTTTTCCTAAAACAAACAACTTTATAGGATTCATCTCACCCAATATTCAGTGCTGAGTTATTTATTGTTCCTCTAAAGTTTGTTGGAAGACTCAGGATTACTAAGTCCATTGATAATGAGCTGGAACCATTGTTAGTATGCACATTGGTTCGATTTTTGGCTTCTAAATTAATTCCTGTTGGTGTCTCAGATTTCCTCGGCTCCTATATGGGGTCATAGTTCCACCCCATTCAAGGGTCTCGACCCCTGACATCAGCCCCTTAGTCCATTGGTACCCATAATAGATTCTGTCCATATCCAAGAGTTCCGCTGCTCAGTAGGAATGCTCCCAGTGGCATCAGTGACTATTGTATGCCTTCAGAGTATGTGGGATCTTGTCTCCAAGGATTTCTGGACGTGTGGTAAACCTTCACCATGGATCCATGGGCACTACAGGTTCTTGAATCAGGATTAGTCATTCATTTCACATCTTCACCACCGTTATCAACCAAACCTGTAGGGTTTCCATCTCCTGCAGATCCTCAGATTTTGAAACTTAGTTCTAGGGCTATCAGAGTTTGGTTGGTCTGGAGGTAGAGAGAGAGTTGTGCCAACTCTTTGTTGGGCCCAAGAAGACAGGAGATTGGTGTCCAGCCCTTGATCTTTCTCATCTATATCAATTCTTAGATTCTCCAACGTTCACAAGTGACTCATTCCTCACTCTGAGTTGACATTTTTTACTGGGATTGTGGATGTCCCAGTTCAGTGTTGTCGGCTCCTATCTGCACATTGCCACTATCAGCATCTTTTGTGCACAAAGGTAAGGTACTGCAGTTCAGGGATCTTATCTTCTGACTAGCATCAGCACCACATGGATTCTTCCGAATCAAGCAAGGTTTTTCTCCTCACCTCCTTCCCTAACTCTGTGCACACACCATTCCATGGGTGACTGGCTATTGTTGGCACCATCTCATCAATTGTCAGAATGTCACACCCGGATTCTACTTTCAGAAATAGCCAAGGCAGGCTTCAATATCAGAACTGAGACATCTATTCTCACTCCAACACAATATGTTGTCTGTCATGTTTTTTTCATCATGTATTTCAGTTGGGCTCAGCCAACTCCCATCTGGCTCCACGCTATGGAACAGGAAGTCTGACTCTTACTCATCTCTCCTTCTCCCACTGCACGGATGGTTCTTTCTCTTTTTGGGAAAGAGGGCATTACTTGCATCCCTCATGCCTTTGGGACGAGCACATTAGAGATCCTTTCAGTAGTCTTTATGTGACCGATGGATCATGAACATCGATTCACTGAATTTCCTAGTTTCCTTATTCAAGATCATTCTCTTCGATCTCAAGGGGTTGTTAGACTGGGACAGTACTAACATATGGGTTCCTCTGCCACTACATTGTACAGAGATCCCTTTCATGAATGCCTTACTTCAGGGATGGGATGCATACCTCAACAGTCGGGAATTCCAGGATCTATGCACGGACAAAGAGGCTTCCACACACTATGTTTTAGACCTTCATGTTCTTCAAAGGCGATGCTTCATGATCTGGGCTTAACCCTTTCTATACGGGTCACAGGTGAAAGGCCATGTCATCTCGTTTGTTGACTCACATTCAAAATTTTTTTGAATTACTATTTCATGAATTTATGTCAATAAGTTTGGTATTAAACTGCAGATTATAATTCAAATTTTAGAACTATATATTACTCAATTTGTTAATTTAAAAGTGAATATTTAAAAAAACAGATAAACATCGATTTTTGTGTGCCACGTCGTATGTTGAATGCAGCACTGTGTCAAATTAGATATTTGTGAAGTCAAAATACTAAGTCTATAGTTTCATATGAATTAGAAACTTTCTAACATACCTAGCATCATTTCTTTCTTTTAAATCAAGAGTTCAATGAGGTAGGTTGTGTCTTTAGCCTACTCGAAATTTCATATTTCTTTAGACCCAAATACAGCTTAGTTACTACGTTTGATAACTTATAGTAGAATTCTATGGTATTGATGTAGTAATTTTTTAGTTATTCAAAAGTATATATATAAAATCTAAAAAAAATATTTTGTTTCATGTCTTCCATGTGGAAAATTTTTAAAGGCTTAGCAACTTACATCAAGCAGCAACCGAGTATAAAGGTCGTAACTAGAAGAGATAATTGTTTGCTTTACTTCTTTGTTTGCTGTTCTATGTTTCAGAAAAAATACCTTTAAGAACTTACTTCAAAATAGCAATAACCTAGATACATATATAATGTATAATAATTAAAATGTGATTGTATTTTACAAAATACTAGTCGACTAAAACATAGCCAAGACAAGTTACTTTGTACAGACCAAAGGTCACCTTTATGGTATTTGATACGGTAACATGAGTGCACTTGAGTCGCATCGTTGTAACTTCTGTATTGTTAGCCAGACACGAGTGAAAGGTCAATATAATAAAAATAATAAATATATATAAATGTATAATGTTATGAGATTTAAGCTATTTAGTCTAAACATTTATGTTTTCTTATTATAATTTGTCTTCATTCTAGAATGAA